TAGAGCCTTACTGTTTGAACAAAATATGCCAAAAGCATATTGGGGAGAAGCTGTACTCAAATCAACTTATGTCATAAATAGGATTCCTTACAGGGTCTTGGGTTTTCAAAATTCACTAGAGAACCTATCCAAATTCTACCCCTATATTCGATCTTCCTTTTATCTCACTCCTTGAATTTTTGGATATACTTCCTTTGTTCATGTCCATAATCATAACCGTGGGAAGTTAGATCCTCGTGCTCTTAAGTGTGTTTTCGTGGGGTACTCATCTACTCAGAAGGGTTACAAATGTTATCATCCACCTACTACAAAACTCTATGTCTCGGCAGATGTTACATTTGTTGAAAATAAATCCTATTTCATCACTCATTATCTTCAGGGGGAGTTAGATACACTTAAAAATAAGGAGTTAAAATTTCACCCTTTAGAGTTGTCCAAATCTGAGTCATCCAAATCTGAATTTCGAGAGTCAATTCCTCAATCTGATGTGGTAGAAGGAAACAAGGAAGAAGATCGTAAAATCTATTACTGGTTCCGGTTTGACTAAGTGTATACAAGGAAAGGAGATCCCATCGTAGTTACAAGGCAAGAACAATCCTCTGAACCAAGCTTCGGAAATGACGTAACAATGAGTGAATCAAATCTAAATTCTACACCACCGATCGACCATTCTTCCAGCATTAAATCACCTTGTCATGAGCCTCTTAGCCTTGACCAGGACCTACATCTACCTGTTGCTGTAAGGAAAAAAACCCGAGAATGCACCAAAAGACCCCTATACCCATTGTCTCACTTTGTGTCTTTTGAGAAGTTTTTCCCAAGCCATCAAAACTTCCTTTCCACCTTAAATACAGTCTCTATTCCTAACTCATTGTCTGAAGCATCATCAAAGAAAGAATGGAGACTTGCTATGGAAGTAGAAATGGATGCACTAGAGAAGAATGAGACCTAGGAATTAGTTAAGTTACCAAAGAACAAGAAAGTAGTGGTCTGTAAGTGGGTGTATGCAGTAAAGTTTAAGACAGATGGGTCCCTAGAACGCTATAAGGCGAGATTAGTCATAAAAGGATACACACAGACATATGGAGTAGTTTATCAGGAAACGTTTGCTCCGGTAGCAAAGATGAATACAGTAAGAATTCCGCTGTCCTTGGCTGTTAATTTTGATTGAGAATTGCAGCAGTACAATGTGAAGAATGCTTTTCTTCATGAAAAATTAGAAGAGGAGATTTATATGAGCATTCCACGGGATTTAGTGGGGTTGACAAGAACAAGGTTTGTCGGTTAAAAAAGACATTATATGGGCTGAAACAATCCCCATGTGCTTGGTTTGGATGATTTGCCAAGGTAATGATAGCTAATGGTTACAAGCAAAGTCAAGGAGATCATACTCTGTTCATCAAGCATTCAGTCTTCGGGGAAGTTACTGTTTTGATTGTATACGTGGATGACATTACAGTGACAGGAAATGATGAAGTAGAGAAGAAAACTTTGAAGTGGTGCCTAGCCAAGGAATTTGAAATAAAGGATTTAAGAAAATTGAAGTATTTTCTAGAAATTGAAGTGGCTTGATCAAGGCAAGAAATTTTTATTTTTCAACAGAAGTATGTTATGGACCTGCTCAAGGAAACAGGCATGACAGCGAGCAAACCAGTTGGAACTCCTATTGAACAGAACCACAAATTAAGTGAGGCTTATGGAGATAAAGTAGTGGACAGAGAGATGTACCAAAGACTTGTTGGGAAACTCATTTATCTCGCACATACTAGGCCAGATATAGCTTACTCAGTCAGTGTTATTAGTCAGTTTATGCATGATCCTAGAGGAGTTCATCTACAATCAGTTTATCAAGTGCTTCATTACTTAAAGGCACATCCAGGGAAGGGAATTTTATTCAAAAAAGTCCTGAGATTGATTTGGCAGTTTACACAGATGCAGACTTTGCAAGGTCTCCAGTCGACAAGTGATCAACTTCGGGATATTGTACATTTCTTGGAGGAAACTTAATATCCTGGAGAAGCAAGAAACAAAGTGTGGTAGCAAGGTCAAGCGCTGAAGCAGAATTCATAGCTATGGCAGCAGGGGTATGTGAATTATTATGGGTTAAAATTATCCTAGAAGACTTGAGGATTCAATGGAGCAAACCGATGAAGCTATACCGTGATAACAAATCTGCTATAAGTATAGCTCACAACCCAGTGCAACATGATCAGACGAAACACATAGAGATAGACAGGCACTTTATTAAAGAGAAGCTAGAAAGTGAACTGATTTGTACTCTGTATGTTCCGACAGGACTTCAACTTGCAGATGTGATGACAAGGGACTGTATAGCAACATGTTTCATGAGAGTGTTGTCAAGCTGGGAATGGACGATCTATATTCACCAGCTCGAGGGGGAGTGTAGGAATTTTGAATGAGTAATCTTAGGAGATATTTTAGGTAAATTGAATGAGTAATCTTAGGAGATATTTTAGATAAATTAGTGGAGGAAATCATGGTGAATAAGCTGTCTCTAAAATTAAGGGAATTAAGTGTAGACTTTCCTTGTTTAGTGTACCAGAAAATTGTATATATAAATTAGAATGAATTGTAGTTAATATACAGCATTAATAAAATCTCTTTGATTCTGTTACAACAATTACTTGATTCCCACGTAGCCCAAACTAGTTTTTTGTATAATAAGACTCTTTTTTAATATTTGTTGAATATTTGGTATGTAGTAATTGAAGCCTTCTGGTGATATACTTGTTTACCAGATTCCTTGCCACTTATATGAATGCGGCATTTTCACAACTTCCCCTAATTATTTTGGCAAAACAAATAATTTGCATACTTATTTGAGATTCCATATTACTGCGAAATATATGAAAATCGACATGTTTACCTATTTGTATCAACTGGTTGAAAAAGTGAAAAAAAAAACTTTGCTACAGTAAATTTATTAAAAATTATTTTTTTGCTACAATAAAGTTTTTTTACAACTTCTACAGTTATCTACAGTAAAGTTTTAGACAAATTTTCAAAAAACTCAGGTTCCAAACGGGGCCTTAATTTGGAAGTTGTTGCTGAGTCATTTTGTTTTGGTCATAGGGATTGAACCTTGCTTATGAGGAAATAATTCCTAAGGCAGTTGAAAGGCATTGCTGCAGGCATATATGCAGCAATTTCAAGAGTCAATTTCCATGTATCTTACTTAGCAATTTTTTCTAAAAGGCAGCTAAAAACTATGATTCAATAGGACAAAATGATGCAATAGCAAGTATTAAAAACATTAACATAAATGCTTGGAAATATATGGATAAAATCCCAAGAATTGCCTTGTGTAGACTTGTATTCTCAACTGAGTTGAAATGTAACCATGTCACAAATAATTTTACCGAGTCTTTTAATGCTTGGATTGGTGATCTAAGAGGAAAGACCATACTCACTTTGGTTGATGGTTTAAGAAGAAAGTTCAAGAAAAAAAATGCACAAAAGGTACCAGAAAGGGTGTACCTTGACTAGTTACATTACTCCCAGAATTGTTGAGAAACTAAAAGAAATTGGCCAAGAATCAAGAAAATGTGAGATGCATATGGCCAGTGAAGACACATTCGAGATTGGTGATATGGACAGAACCTACATAGTCAACTTGAGCCAAAGAATCTGTGATTGTGGTGCTTTTCAAATTTTTGGAATTCCATGCAAGTATGCAGCATTAGGAGTTATATACATAGGAGAGAAAAACTAGAGAACTACTATGAAGCTTGATTCACCAAAGACATGTACTTAAAAACTTGCTCCCACATGATTCATCCCATTCCTGATGTGAAAAGATGGCCTCCTATGCCTGAAGTCATGCCAACAACTATGTTGCCACCACCTCTGAGAAGAGCTCCTAGTAGACCAAAAGTACATAGAAGAAGGGAAGCTGATAAAACTGCTTGCACAGCACAGGCAAAGAGGTCAAGCACTCTTAAGTGTGGAACTTTTGGTCACAACAAGAGTACTTGAAAAGGAGCACCTGTGCCGAAAAGGAATAGCAACAGTACTCCTGCTGAACAGGTATACATTGGCCAAAATATGGTAATAACAGTTGTATCCTAACTATTACTTACAACTATACTGAATTTGGAATCACGGATAGCAAACAGAAAAGGCAGATGAGGCAAAGGAATGGCTAATGCAGGCTTGTCAGCAGCTGTTCTCTAGGTAAATTGCGGTTATCATAATCATTCCTCCCCTACCTGAGTTATATACAGCAAATCTCATTGTAGCTTACATCTCATGTTTTAGGATCATGCACAAGGAAATATACCTGTTGTACACTCCAATCAAGGGAGCAATCAAAGTCCTCTAAGTCATAATGGAGCAATACATGTTCAAGTGAATGTGCAAACTACTACAACTACTCATGCTAATAGAAAGGTATGCCAATGATCTGCTATCCCATATTTTTGTCAATAACATAACTAGTAGCTACTATTTTTTGTCTAATGTAGTTTATGTCTCAAATGTAATAGAAAGAAAGGCCTTTTGGACACAATCCTGCAAGTCCTGCAGCAAGAGTTGGTGGTAGGACCAAAAAATCCAAGTCTGCTCTAACTAATCCTGTTGTTCCAATTCCACCGCCATTACATCTCAAAATGCTAATTTGTTAGCATAAACGCATCTACAAATTAGCATCCAAAAAATCAGTAGTACCAGTAGTTTCAGCATGCTGTTTTGACAACTCTGCTGAATTCCAATTGTTAGTTATGTCTACTTGAACCTCTTTTGTTAATGCTTTTGTTAATGTCTTCTTACTTACAGTCATTAAGAACTGTGGAATTGCAATCCTCACCATTTGCATATAGTATTTGATGTAGATGGTGTTTTGTACTATTGGATTGTAGTGATGCACACGTGCTCTTCTTATTGATATGCTTAAGACATTTGAGCTAATGTAGTGTCCTTATTTGATCTTTACTTTCATTTGCTTTTCATACATAACTATTTGCAAACTTGGCATAGTGGATGACTAAGAAATAATGAAGCTATTCATTACTTCACTCTGAAATCTAAAAAGCTATGTACATGGGTTTACATTGGTGCTTAAAAGAATTCCAACTAACTTAGCCTTCTGGTATGAATCTCCTATCACCAGAAAGGGCATCATTTAGTTGGTACAATCTTGCAGCAGATTAACATGAGTTCATTGAATTGATTTTATAATAGAGTGAGGTTTATAGCTAATAAATATTTGAATGAAAATAAATATAGCTAATAGTGTGAGGTTTATGATGATCAGCACATTCCCTGAGGCTCTTGGTTTCAGAAATTACTTTGGCTCTTGCATTGGCCCCTCAACTTGCTTGACTGGAATGCCATCTCGGTTTCTACTATTAACTAGTCGTCTCTTTGCATTGAGGTTGCTTCTTTTGCTATTTACTTCTTCTTTTTCACCTCCATCATACCATTCAAAATACCTGCACTTTGCACAACGGAAATACAACTTGTCCAGATTCTTTTCACTCTCTGATATCATCACGGTTGCCTTGCGATTACAATGGCAAAACTTGTTTTCAATGGAGAAAGATGTGGGTGAATTCCATGATTCTCCCCTATGGCTTGAAGAGGCCATAGTTGCAGGTAAAACTTTTAACTCTGAGCTCTAAATGCAGCACAACAAATTAACTTTGTTAGCACTCCAAAACTTGTAGCAAAGAATGATAATAGGTTGAGGGTGTAGAGGTAGTTAAGCTGCTTTATATACTATTGCTACTGAAACAAAAATTTGGCCGTTGCAATTTGCAGCTAGCCGTTGCAATTGCTGCCAAATAACTGTTACAAGGCAAATCTTGTGCTTACAAGTTTTTGTATTGCACTTACACCCCCTCAACTTTAGTAATCATTCTAATAATTTAATCTTCTACTAATACAAGGAAAAAAGGGCATCCATGGAATAAAAATACCTTCTCACACATGAAAATAGTATTGTAATATGATTTGGATTGCATTGTTACCAAAAACTCAAAAGCAAGAGAGTCAGTGAAATTTTGAGAACCTCAAGGGATGTTAGTGAAAGTGTCAAAAACCTCCCCTGAGATTTCTGAAATTATCCCTAAAAAGTAATATTAAGACACGCCAACTAATGATGTCATTTACTAGCGAATTTGGTTAGAGTATCTTGTTCTTTTTTTATTTTCTATTTTTTCAAAGAATGAATTATAAATGGAAGAAAAAAGACAATAACGGAAAATGAAATGTGGAGGGTTAAATTTTCCTGCAAACAAAATGAAGCACAACCCTTCAACCTGGAATGGTCTTATTACCTTGTTCATTGGGATGATCGCACCACTTTATTTAATTTTATAGGATAATCACATATGTATACATTGTAAGAACACGAACCCCTGCATTTTGCACAATGGATTGATTCCCCAGTCCATTTGTATTTTCGCTGATCCGCATGTGCCAATTTAGCATAATATCATTTCATATCTTAATCCTATTCTACCGGTTAGCTAAAGATATTTAATCGAGTTAGATATACATGGTTAACAAAGAAAATAATACAGCTTATGTCCAAATTAAAAGGGAGATAGGTTCATTAGTTAAGAATTAAAAGGGAGACAGGTTCATTAGTTAAGTTCAAAACTTGAATTGGTTTAAGTTCAAAGTTGAACTTAGTTTACACGTAAATGACTAAATGGTTGGTTGAAGTTCAGGTACCTGTTAATTTAACCAACTAAACACATATGCAGGTAGGTTTGGGTAACTGCCCTTTTGAAAATTGAAAAAGATACTGAACCTATTTTCCAATTAGGTTGTGGTAACTTAATTATTTGAAAATTGCAGGTTGCTTATTCTGTTTTTGATTTGGAATAGTTTGATTTTCTCAATTATCCACTTTTTTAGTTTTTTTTTTTTAACTCTCCTAGGGTAAACACTAGTTTAGTACGTCAAATATGGTTTGAGTTGGATATATTTGGGAAATTCCAATATTTTATATCATAGAGTAGAGTTTTTAATGCATCGAACTGCTTGTGTATATGTTTCTATTTGCTTCATTCAAGTTCGGAAAAGACTCGATTATATAATAAATAATCGAGTTCAAATATAATGTTAGACACATTTAAAAATCAAACTGTACATGAACTTGTTCGCAAACTGCTCGAATAGATTCATGAATACATATATAATAAATATAAAAACCTTATACATGGTTAAATATGGGCATATACACCTTGTATTTTTCTCTTAAAAAAGTAATTATACACAACATTATTATTATTATTATTATTATTATTATTATTATTTATTTTCGAAAACAAAACCAATTTAATTACATCTATGCTAAACAATGTATGAGAAATTTGTGGTTTCAAGTGAAGGTGTTGGATATTCCTTTCACGAGATTACACAATTTGAAATGTCCTTGATGTCAAATTTCATCATAAACTCAAAACCCGCAGCCAAAACCTATAACCCTTTATGCAATTGGAAATCAATAAGAGAAAAAACCACTACCTCATTCTCCCGATGATCATCATGATGGAGACGCCAAACTGCAAATGCAACATCATTGTTGGAATTTTGCTTGAAAAAGAAGAGAAGAAAAATCCCAAAAATCCTTGAACAGATATTTGATTTAGTAAAAAGGAAAGAAGTGTTAACATCTAAAATCTTGCCTCTTATACGTTATCTTGATGTCATTTTTGGAGGACTTCCTTACCAAGGCAGTGGTGGCTATAATTGCTATCGCAACATTGACTATCCATTTACAAAATGAAATCAACCAATTCTGATTCTTGTGGACTTAGTGGAATGCTTAAAACCCAAATCTGCCTTTGTGAAAATTGTGGTTGACATCTTGAGGCTTGATAGAGTTTCTACAGGAAGATACGCATTAGTGCATATGAAAAACCATGGCTAACAAAATAAACCCCATTAATACACCCAATTATCCTACTACCTCTGAAAGTTTGGGCAGACCCAATTGATTATGGGTTCACTTAAATTGTATTGCCTATAATCCAATTATCTTGGCCTGGTTATGTTTTTGACTGGATATTCTGTAGGTAGAATACTTTTTTCTTGTCCTTTACTTTTCCTTCTCTTTCTTTCTGTTTTTTTCCCCCTTTTTCTTTTCATTTCCTCCATCTTCTTCTTCCTCTGGTTGAGAAGATTGCCACTGCTCGCCAGCAGCATCGTTGACTAGCATTGACTTTTTTTGTTGTTGTTGTTGTCAAATACCATACACGGAGAAGGAATGTCAACCCTTATTTTAGTAATTAAACTAAGTAAATGAATGAAGAGAGAAGTATAAACGTAACTTGGGATGATTTTACATGAATCAACTCATTTTTGCATGCTAAAATATAAATTTCTTTTTCTCAAATTCTTGCTTGAAAGCAACCCACATGCATCCCAACAATGGTGGGTCTGCCCCCGTTACATAATAGTTTAAATAAATCATCTCATTATTTACAGTGAATGACACCCAATCTTCATCAATCTAGATCTAGCAGTGATTTTTAAAATCATATCAAGACTTACTCTTTTTTCCAAAGCCAGTTAAGACTTTTGGTATTTTACAAACCTAGATCCATAGGAAACCACAAAAGCCGGCAACTCATGTGGTTCCTGAGAAGACTTATAAACTACTCCAAATCCCCCCCAACCCTCGATGTGGGATAACAGCCCAAGCAGGTGAGCTGCTGCTAAGACCTAAAGAGACCTCACTTACTCCATTGTAGGAAAAGTTTGTGCCTTCACTGGTGCCGTACGTCACCAATTATTTCTTGAATTCTTTATTGACTAAATTATATGTTAACCTCCTTAAATTTGTTACTTCATAGTTTGACCCCCTAAACTTTTTGTTTCGGTTTATTTTGCGTTTTCCCATCCTTGCAAAGTACCCAGAGAGGCTGCAAACCATTGAATCTCATGTTTAGGACCTTCAAAAATTTTGCTTTCTTTTTTTATGTGGAGTACATTTTCAAGTGAGAGATTACCTTCATTTCTACTTCCTATGCATGATTTAGTTATGTGATATTAGCCTTTATCAGAATTAAAGCAACATTGTTGCTTATGATGAAGGCCAAACTCACGAACTTGATAAAGGTATTTTTCTCTAGGATTCAATCTTCGACCTTCCAACCATTACAAACCATGAAACTTGTAAGGAAATGGCATAAGATAAGCCTCCAGAGACTGATTATATTCATGAGATTGAGTGAATACGAGAGCATAGGTCCCATCAACTATTCAAATTATAGAAGCAACAGAACAAGTCTTATATGATATAGGCTCTATGGGTTTAATAAGAATAATTACCTTGGAATCACTTATAAAAATGATACAAATTTTATACACCTCCATTGGGTTGATTGGAGGAGATAAGAATGCTTTATGGTGGGATGAAACTGTGCCTGCTGTATTTGCCTTCTTTCGTCGCTGGTCGTAGGCTATTTTACATCCTGATGAAAATCGAGTACTCATCCTACGGAAATGTGCAAAGCTGTAAGAATTTCCAAACATTTACAGATTTCGTGGCTGTATTAAAGAAAGAAAAGCAATACCAGGTTAGAGTTTTCTAGCTAGGAAGGCGCAGGACACCAACCATGCTTTTGATTCTTTTATTTTATTTAATTATATGATTGATTTTCTACATCAACAGAAATTTCCAGGCTTACTTGCTCATTTCTTTTTCCCATTGGCTCAAAAAATGGGAAAAAGAATTCATTTTAAAATTGATACGAGATAAGAAATTGTAGGAAAAAGAAAATATAAATGTATCTCACAATAGCGATATGCAGCAGCAGCAGCACTTCGTTGACATCTTAAGGCAGAAGCAGCAGCAGCAAGTTCATCACAATTCACATTTTGCTTGGAATTGGCAAGCTCTTGCTCAACTTAGCCTCTTTCAATGCTATATTGGTTGTGCTATAACCACCATCAACCACCAGAATTAATCCGCTTATGTACTTGGATTCGTCACTTCCAAGGTATAATGCAGCTTCCGCCACATCTTCTGTTCCCACAGTTTCCTTCTTGAGATTTGCTATTGCAGAAACAAATCCCTCTATTTCACTCCCCTTGACCATGGGTAATGCTCTCTTTAGCATTGGAGTGGGAACTCCAAAGGGAGAAACACAGTTTACTCGGATCCCATATTGTCCCAATTCCACACACAAATTCTTGGCAAACCCCAAAACGGCATTCTTGGACGCAACATAAGAATAAGGGACATCACCAAAAGTCATTGAACAAACACTGGAAGTTATAATAATGGATCCCTTCTCAGCAGGAACCATAACTCTCGCAGCATGCTTAGCGCACAAGAACGCGCCAAAAACATTAACATCGAAAACCCTTCTAAAGTTCTCGTGATCTGTCGATTCTGTACTGTCTTGATCAGGCAAAAGGATCGTTCTGTCTGATCCATTTCCAGGAATTCCAGCGTTACTGAACATTATGTCAAGCTTGCCATACATGGAGATTGCAGTGTCTACTGCTCTTCTTACGTGTGATTCATTCGTTACATCGCAGTGGAGTGGACGTAGGAAATGGCTCCTTCGGGATTAAGCTCCTCACAAATGGCACGACCGAGATCATCTTGGATATCAGCAAGGACGACTTTAGCGCCATGCTTGACAAACAGCCTTGCAGTGCACTCTCCAATCCCACTGGCGCCACCAGTAATCACTGCCACTTTATCTTCAAGCCTGTGAGATAAGATCAAGCAGTTAGATTTCCATTTTTGTGCTTCAATTAAGTAAAGTTGAAGGACAAGAATTGAGGGTGGAAATTGACGGTGAGCAAAGGATAACTTACCTTCGGACTATGGCAGCAGAAGGAGGTGAATTGCTAGGAAGCATCGTCACTTTTTCAACTTGCAAAGTCTGCTATCGAAATAATGGATTTTATAGAAATTCTTGCCGACATCATACAATAACAGGCCTTTTTCCTTAGTATAGAAAATCGGGATGTCATATTTGATATTCCAAAGATTTGTAAGTCAAAGTTCACTAATTAGTGGGGACTGGAGATTGCATCATTTATGTAGAAAAGCCAATATCTATATAATAGAACTGTCTGTCTAATAGGTGCTTACAGAATACTTGTTAAAATATATTTTAAATGTCATATTTTTAAAATATAAAATTAATTAAAAAAATAAATAAATAAAAAAGAAGATAGATAAGATTAAATATGAAAAATATATAAATATAAAAAAAGACAATAATTATTAATATATATATATAATAATTTAAATGAATACTTAACGAGTGCTTTAAGTGCTTCCATTAGAAAAACTAGGGATGGCAATAGGGCGGGGTGGGGCGAGAAATGGATAACCTTCTACAATTCATAATCTTCAGCTTAGCCGTAAATGAAGAACTAAGATGTGAAAAATAAAAAAAAAAGAAAATATCACCTATGAAAATAATGAGGGGAATTAACTGAACCAACAAAGGACGAGCAAACTGAAGAGGCACAGAGCATTGCAGTTTTGGGTAGACAATACAAATTCTCATTTTGCAAACACATCAAGAACTTACCTCTGAGATTACCAATAAAGCAATCATAGAAAACTCTCTAATAGCCCAAAAGTTTTAAGACTTTAGTCCATCAATCAGCTTAAGAGAACCCCTGCATACAGAAAACACTACTCTTATCAAGATGCTCCAAAACGTCTGCTAACACATTCATAGGCCATAATTCCTAAAAAGGAAAATGGAGGTACAATAATACCGTATCTTTCATGTTTTACGATACATGTGAAACAAGATATAGATTTTTAATCTGAATAAAGCCTTAACTGATACCTCCTTTTCATTCACGCATTTTCACAAACAGATTACAAGCACACACAAAAAGTTTCATCCTCTTTCAACTACGAGATTGAAGTGGACCATAAAATTTCCAACGCAACCAAAATTTCAGTCATCTAAGAACGTAAATGCAAGCAAATTAGCAGGAGAGGGGAAAAAAAAAAGAGAGAGCATGGATTTCATTTAGTACCAGTTGAATTTTGAAAGGAGGGGAAAAATGAATTTAGAGATTTCGAGTGATTGAGACTGATTACTGATTAGAATTGAGGGGAATGGGACTATGGGAGGCGACGGCTGTGGCTGGCTGGCGGCGATTCTGCGAAGGAGGAAATGGGAATGGCCGAACGGGGGATAATTAGATTTAGGGGTTTTGTACTTTTGTGTATTTAATATTTATATATATATATATATTTTTTTTTTTTTTTTGTGAGGGGGACGGGGCGGGGATATGTTGTCTCATGCGGGGTAAATATTTTGCCCTCACCCCGCTCCATCCCTGCTCCATTTGTACCCGCGCGGGCAAGTGCCCGCGTTGCCATCCCTAAGAAAAACCCATAATATAGTACTACGGGATAAACTGATCAAAGATATAGGCAGAATCAGAAGCGCATCTCGAAAGTATTTTAATTTGTCGCACATATACCTATTTGTCCTTTTCCCATTATTTTGAGGAAAATGTCAGATCAGTCAATTAAACTACAAATCCAGCCCCATGTTTTGTGCGGTCAACACTGCTATTTGGGTATGGATCTTTATTTTCCTACTTCATTCTACATTTTTTTTTTTTGTCAACACAGGGGTGTCCGGGTCAAGACCCGAAGGCTGCCCGACTAATCCCCTGCGCCTGGAGTACAGCACCACCCCAATCGCACCCAGGCGTTAAGTGAGTGTCGACCCCACGACCTGCGAGTGCCGGAAGCAGCCACAGACCGCGTGATCTAGTCCCGAGGGGTCCTACTACATTCTACATGAGATTGGAAATTG